AGGGTTGCTTATGTACAAGGAGACAGCTCAGGGCGCAGGAGAGTATGGAGGGATGGTCACTGGGAAGAGGTAACTATGGGGAGGAAGTGGGAGGGGAGCTGTTGCATTGTGATAAACTGTTTTCAATGTCATGAGACAAAGTATATGTGAACTGCTGTATGGAAAGTGAATTTGCTCTGTAAATCTTCACCCAAATCACAATAAATAAATAAATAAAAAAGAAAACACCATTGCTTGGGTTAGGCATACCTTAGTCTTCAAAGAGATATATCTTTGCTCTTCAGCACTTTAAAGAGGTCCTTTGCAACAGATTTGCCAAGTACAGTATTTTGTCTGATTTCTTGACTGCTTCTTCCATGGGTGTTGATTGTGGAACCAAGCAGTATGACAACTTCAATCTTTTCCCCATTTATCGTGATGGTGCTTGTTGGTACAGTTGCAAGGATTTTCGTTTTCTTTTTGTTGAGGTGTAATCCATATTGCAGACTATGGTATTTAATCTTCATCAGTAAGTGCTTCAAGTCATCTTCACTTTCAGCAAGCAAGGTTGTGTCATCTGCATATTGCTGGTTTTTAATGAGTCTTCCTCCATTCATGAAGCTATGTTCTTCATATATTCCAGCTTCTCAAATTATTTGCACAGCATACGGATTGAGTAAGTATGGTGAAAGGATACAACCCTGACATACTCCCTTCCTGATTTTAAACCACGCAGTATCCCTTTGTTCTGTTGGAATGACAGCCTCCTGGTCTGTGTACTGGTTCCTCATGAGCACAATTAAGTGTTCTGGATTTGCCATTCTTCTCGATGTTATCCGTAATTTGTTATGATCCACACAATCAGTGGTTTTGTATAGTCAGTGAAACACAAGTAACCATCTTTCTGGTGTTCCTTGCTTTTAGCCAAGATCTATCTGACATCAGCAGTGATAGCCCTCATTCCACATCCTCTTCTAAATCCAGCTTACATTTCTGGAAGTTCCCTGTCAATATAGTGCTGCAACCATTTTTGAATTATCTTCAGCCAGGTTTTACTTGCGTGTGATATTAATAATGTTGTTCAGTAATTCCCACATTCTGTGGGATCAACTTTCTTTGTAATGGGTAAAAATCTGGATCTCTTACAGTCAGTTGGACCAGGTAGCTGTCTTCCAGATTTCTTGACATAGATGAATAAGTGCCTCCAGCATGAATAAGTGCCTCCAGCATTTTATCTGTTTGTTGAAACATCTCAGTGGGTATTCGGTGAATTTCTGGAGGCTTGTTTTTCACCAATTCCTTCTTTGGAGCATCAACTTCTTCTTTCAGTACCATTGGTTCTTGATCATAGGCATTCTTCTGAAATAGATGAGCATCGACCAATTCTTTTTGGTGTGGTGACTCTCTGTATTCCATCTATCTTCTTTTGATGTTTCCTGCATAATTCAATATTTTATCCATAGAATCTTTCAGTATTGCAACTCAAGGCTTGAATTTTTTCTTCACTTCTTTCATTCAGTTTGAGAAATGCTAAGCATGTTCTTCCCTTATGGTTTTCTACCTCCAGGTGTTTGCACATTTCATTATAATAATGGACTTTATCTTGTTGAGCTGCTCCTTGAAATCTTCTGTTCAGATCTTTTATTATTTCTTTCATTTGCTCTTGCTACTCTGCTCAAGAACAAGTTTCTGAGTTTCTTCTGACATTCATTTTGGTCTCTTTTTCCTTTCCTGTCTTTGTAATGAACTTTTGCTTTCTTCATGTATGATGTTTTTGATGTTATCCCATAATTCGTCTGTCTCTGTTTATTTCAGTTTTTATACGTTTTAGCTATAGTGTTTTTGTTTAGTTCCAGTTTTTAATTTTTATCAGTATGTATATTGGTATTCTCATTTTGTTACTCTAGTGTTTTCCTAGTTTTCTTGAGTTCTTTGTCCATGTTTTCTTCCGCTCCTATTGTTGTTTTAACAATTTTGTCTAATTTGTCTATTAACTGGACTTCCAGAGGGAGTTTCATTGCTTTATTTTGTTCTTTTAAGTGGATCTTTCTCTCCCGTTTCTTTGCATGCCTTCTAATTTTTGTCTTCAAACTGGGACATTTCAGTATTTTAATGTGACAGCTGGGAGCTCTGGTAGCATAGTGGCTAAGACACTTGACTGCTAACCTGAAGGTTGGCGGTTCAAACCCACCAGCCACTCCTTGGAAGGATGATGGGGCAATCTACTTCTGTAGTGATACTGCCTCAGAAACCCAAGGAGGGGTCACTATGAGTCGGGTCCGACTTGTCGGCACAGGCACACACACACACACACAATGTGACAACTCTAGAAATGATGGTCATCCCATTCCCAGATTTTGTTGGCCTTTTTTTTTGGATAGTTTGTTTGTTTTAGTTTTTAATTTTTGATGGCTGTAGTGGTCTGTTTGTTTAGTGACTTCCACTATCTTTTTTTCACAATGACTGCCCTCTTGGCCATTTGCTGTCACTGAAGTCTGTGTTTCTTAGTTTGTGTTCAGCTAGTGTTTTGATAGATTTTCTTTAATATCAGGGGAGAAAAAAACATTAAAAATAATGAAACAAATAGTCTTTTCTTATCTTTCTAAAATAGTTCTATACCTGGCACCATCTTCAACACTTATCCAGACTTGCACTGAACATAGAAATCAGCCTGAGGTCAAAGTATAGTCTTCTCAAGTGATTTCTGAGCATGCAACTGCTTTTCTCAATTCTTTCATATGCTTATGAAAGTCTTGATTTTTGAAAGTTACAGTGGTTTCTTGCTACCATTCAGCACTGTGTGAGCTCCAACGTAGGACAAACTGAAAGAACACCTCTAGGCAGCCCCCAGACAAGTTAGGATAGACATACACAATAATTTACAAATAATGTTTGCTCTGCCCCATCTAGATCCAGAGACCAGGCTTCCTCACTGGGAACTCTGGCTGTTTCTGCTTTAAGATTTCCATGCTGAACCGTGGAAGGTTGGGTATAGAAAATCAGTTCTTTCTGACCGTTTTTATGTTACCTTTTTCTTGATTTATCAGTTGTTCAGTTGCTGTCATGGTTTCCAGATTTCTGGCAAAGTTAGTCCTTCCAGTTTTTGCTTGTTTTGTTATTTGGGGGGGTGGGGCATGGAAGCATGTAGCTGCTCATACAGCCATCTTGCTCCAGACTCCTACATTTGAATTTTAAGATCACTCTATACTGCCACCAGTGACTTACAAAGAATAGATTGCTTACAATTTTTTTCCAGGAGGGTGTCTATTTGCCTCCTTTGTGGAATTGAACTTTCCCCCCATTAACCAGTTTTGCAGCTTCTGAATACTAATGTCTCAATAATTAGTAGTAGTTTAGTGAACAGATACTTTTAAAAGCAGCAAGAGAGACATATATGCCACACAGTACATTAAAACGATTCATTGATTTATCTTTTTGTGTAGTGAAAATTCTTCCTTTTAGTTACAGTTTTACAGTCAGGACTAGAAGTTGAATAGTAGTGTTTACTACTGAAAAATAATGAAAACTAAAGTGCATGACCTACTTTGGTCATGTTGTCAGAAGGGACCAGTCTCTGGAAAAATATGCTTGGTAAAGTGAAAAAGGGGAAGACCTTCAACAAGTTGGATTGACACAATGTCTGCATAGCATAGCAAGGAATGTGAACATGGTGCAGGACCAGGCAGTGTTTTGTTCTGTTGTACATAAAGTCACTATGAGTCAGAATTGATTCAGCAGCCCCTAACAACAGCAAAGTGAGTAAAACAATGCTGTCTTTTTTTTTTAATAAAAAATGTTGATGATTAAGTGTACGTATTATTTTTCTTTATCTTTATTAGTAACATCAATAATAGGATTGATATACATCTATAGACATATAATATAGATATTCTATCTGATGTAAGATAACAAAAACATCAAATTAACAAACCATATTTCCTAAAATAAAAAATGGCATCTCTATCTTGAAATTTACTGTTACCATGACAAGTTTTATTTCTATACTGTTTGCAGCCCCTATCTCAGCCAGTTGGAACTGAACAACAATCAACTCTCCTAAAACCAGATTTAATTCGTAGGTAAGTATCTTTAAACTAATACCATGAAAACAATGAACGTACAATTAAGTATGTGCATTCACTAGGAGCTTAGTGTGTGTTGACCACAGAAGCTTTTCTGTTTTGTATTTCTGTGTATGTTTAATAAAAATTATAGGTATTATTTTTACTTTTTTATATATCAGTAGTGATCATATGGATTGTGAGATTATTGTTTTTTGTTCTTTTTGTTTATGCTATTCTTTTCTTAAAAAATAAAAGTAAAAAGTAAGAAATAATGTACAATAAAATTCTAAATAAGGTAATAAATTATAATTCTATATAAATTTATATTCTTATTTGGTGATTATAAACTAGTATTTTTGTTTCTCTATGTTGTTCACATTGGATAATATCTGTGGTCCTGTGTTCAAGTTTGTTCTTTTGTACATAGGGTCCCTATGAGTTGGAGCCGACTCAATGGCACCTAACAAAAACAAAATGTTCAAGTTCGCAGATTCTTTCCTCTATTATATTCATTCTGCTTTAGTGCCCCTTCAGTGAGTTTATTCCTTTTATTGTATTTTTTTTTTCAGTTCTGTCATTTCTAGTTGGTTCTTTTTTATATCTTCTATTTCTTTTGTGAGATTTTCTATTTTTTCATTTGTTTTAAGGGTATTTGCGCATTGAAACATTTTGATGATGACTACTGTAATATCCTTGTCAGATAATTCCAATATCTGACTTATGGTGGTGTTCACATCTGTTGATTATCTTTTCTTACTCAAGTTCAAGTTGTGATTTTCCTAGTTTGGGATATGACAAAGAATTTTCACTTACCTCTTGAACATTTTGGACATTATATTAGTAGACTTTGGATGCTACTTAAATCTTGTGCTTTTGCAGGCATGCACCTGTTTAGTTGCATAGGTCCTGACCTACTTTAGTGGGCTGTCGTTCTAATGATAATTTATTTTTCAGAGCCCTTCTAGAGCTCTTCCAATCTGCTTCATTCACTTGGAATCTCTGAGGCTCCCTGTTGTGCTGCCTATGGGAGGCAGAAAGCACTTTTCTGGGTTTCTTGCTGCTAGATTCAGAATAGGAGATGCCTGGTCAAGGGGCACACAGAGTAATTTCCCCAAACCTGGTCTCAGACCTTCAGTGCTGCTTGGTAGGAGGTCTAGAGGTGCTGGACCTGGATTGCCTTCCAGTTGTTACATGGGTTATCAGGAGACACCAGCCTGTTTTTCCTCAAGTCCTGATTTACTTTTATCTTTTCACCCTTCAGAATTCTGTGGCTATATACTGTATTATTTTCAGAATTTTAAGTTGTACTTAGGAAGGAAGAGCAGGAAAATACACATTTGTGATGTGTCATCCCAAACACAGAACTAGTGCTTTAAGGTAATTTTGGAATGTGAATGATACGGTCCTATTAGGTAGAATTATGTTCTTTTTATCTTCTGTGGTAGATTATTTGATACTGCCATTTCTCTGCATATTAAAAAACTATAAGGGCAGTGTGGTAGTTATGGTTGTGTGTCAACTTGGCTATGCCATGATTTTGAGTTGCTTGGAAGCTGGGTATAGTTATTCCCCATGATGAGATTATAATAACCTCCATGGTAGAATCTGCTGTGACCAGCTAAATAGTTGAAGTGGAGTTGCCTTTGGGGTGTCGTCTGGCCTGCTTTCAGTATATAAGGAGACATTTTGAGAAAGGTCTCTATTGTTTTGGCACATTTGGATCCTGCATGTGCCCAAGTCTCCATCTCTAGTTCCTGGACTTGAATCAGTGGCCTGCTGTGCTGCCTACTGATCTTGGAATTGTGCTATTTTTCCTGCTGATCTTGGGTTTTTCAACTTCAGCACCCAGTACCTGCATGAATTAGAAAAAGCATTCAGTTTCAGTGGACCTGGAACAAGAGGCAGAGCTGAAGCCCAAGACTGAGGGGCTTTCACCCAGCCCCTAGAGCCAATACTCTGCATTCAGACTTATAGCCTCCTAAGCTGTAAAAGAATAAATTCCTGTTTGTTAAAGCCTTCTGGTATTTCTGTTACAGTAGCACTAGAGAACTAAGAAAGGCAATATTAATATATTTTATTACACTACTGTCTTTATGAAAATTCTTTTTCATGTGGGCATAGAAAAAAAATTAGGCAGTATTTTTATCTCTTCTTGTCTATCTTTATATAAATGTTTCATGAGTAATTTTTAAGAGAAAGGGCTTACCTAAAAAATAATTTCAAAATACTGATTTGGTGCTTACCAATTTGTAATTTAAATTTCAGAGGTATTCTATTGGAGTTTTTGTATTTATTGAAACAACTTCAAGTTTATTAAAGAAAGAACTAAAAAATGCCTTTGACTCAGATAAACTAAAAGTTATTCTGCCCTTTGATAATCATACTGATTTGAATCTATAAAGTATAACTATTTAGAATTAATCATGTTGCACTATTTTTCACATCATTTATTTTCATTTCTTGTTCTGCCTCCTCAGTCTCTTCTGTAAAGGTTTACAGCCTTGGAAACCCTACGGGGCAGTTCTTTACTGTCCTAAAGGGTCACCGTGAGTCAGAAACAACTCATTGACAGTGGGTTTGGTTGTGGGATTCTGCCTCCTGCACTGTTCCTATGTCTTACACTTGGTCTTTTTATCCTTTGTTGAGTTTGTTATACGAGCAGATATATTTTAAGTTAGAATTTGTTTTTAGAAATTTTATTTGAACATAGTAAAGAGGGAACCTCAAAACAAACAAAATAAAATTGATCTAGAATGTCCTATAATAAAAAGTTTCACAGACATTCATCACTGGCAGTCCCACCACTGTGAGATGATATCTGCCAAATAAATGCAGTATGTATTGAGATATCCAGCACTCATCTGTCAGTCTCTGTACTATGGTGGCTTGTGTATTGCTATGATGCTGGAAGCTATACCACCAATATTTCACATATGAGCAGTGTCACCCAAGGTAGACAGGTTTCAGCTGAGTTTCTAGACTAAGAAAGACTTAACAAGAAAGGCTTGGCAATCTACTTCCAAAAATCAGCCAGTGTAAATCTTACGGATCATAAGAGAACATTATCTGAAAGCATCAAGAGGGATCAATCACTGGAGGAGGACACGTTTGATTAACTAGAGGGCCAGCAATGGTGTGAGAGACCCTCAGGATATGGATTGGCACAATACAATGGCTGCAACAGTGGACTCAACCATGTTGGTGATTGTGAGGATGATACAGGATTGAGCAACATTTTCTTCTATTGTACCATGAGTCACATGGGTAAGAGTCAACTTGACAGTAGCTAACAGCATTGAGGTATAATTAACATATCCTACAGTTTACCCCATTAAAATGTACAATTCATTGACTTTTAGTATATTCACAAGTTATGTGATCATAACTTTTTAAAAGATACTATGTTGTCAGCTGCTGTCAAGTCTGTTCCTGAGTCATGGTGACCCCATGCACAATGGGACAGAATTGCTGCCCTGTCCTGCACCATTCCCATGATTAGTTGTGGATCTATATGGTTTTTACTGGCTAGTTTTTGGAAGTAGATCTCCAAGCCTTTTTCCTAGTTCATCTTAGTCTGAAAGCTCTACTGAAACCTGTTCAACATCATAGAAGCATGCAAGCCTCCACTGACAGATAGGTGGTGGCTGCGCCTGAGGTGCATTGGCCAGAAATTGTACTCAGGTCTCCAGCAGGGAATGCGAGAATTCTACCACTGAGACACAGCTGTGTTTTCCTTGAATTTATTATTTATGATTTTATAATGGGAAGTTTTCCTTTGACTTTAACCCTTAATATATCAGGATTGGAATTATTCCTTCTAGACATTAAAGAATTTCAGATGTTAACTCTGATTTGACTTAAACATTAGGCTTTGAAAATTACAGAATATTGTCTCCTCTGAGAAGCTGAACAGGTACTACTTTTTTTTTTTCATTACTAGCTTGAATCATGATGTAGCAGCTCTGAAAGAAAACATCAATAGCCCTGATAACCCAACTGGAAATGGTAAACAAGAACGGAGCAAACAGAGAAGAGCTTCCTGCCCCCGACCAGAGAAGGGGACTAAATTCCAGCTTATTGTTCTTCAGGTCAGTGTAAATGTGGTTTTATTAAGAATTCATGTATAGATCTGGGGGACTTCCAGTAAGGTGGAGGAATAGGAAGACAAGCGACACAGCCCCTCTTCAACAAAGAAAAGAAAAACAAATTGACGGAGATATAGAAGATAATCCTGGAAACCTGAGTTTTGAAAGGAACTACACAGAAGTAGCTCTGGTAGCTTAGTGCCTAAGGCACTTGACTGCTAACCAGAAGGCTGGCAGTTCAAACCCACCAGCCACTCCTTGGAAGGAAGGTTGGGCAATCCTACTTCTGTAGTGATACTGCCTTGGAAACCCAAGGAGGGGTCGCTATGAGTTGGGGCCGACTTGATGGCAAATAACAACAACAACAACACAGAAGTAGATAAGGCACCAACTAGTGGAAAAACCTGAACGAAAACAGTGAGTACAGAGATGGTCGGAGCTGCAGATTGTCAGCTACTCTGACAAGACCAACAGCCTGAATATTTCCAAGTGGTGTTGGGACCTGAGAATTGACCTAAAGATCAGTCCCAATCACCAAGGGCTGCAGGGATAACTTCTCTGGTGGCCTATGACTAGGAAGGGAAACAGCAAGGAGGGAGACAACCTGAGCTGTTGACTTTCTGCTTTCCAGCAGGTGCAACCATTTTGATTGTTTACACGTAGCAGCCATGTTGTATATTTAAAGTGACCAAGGGCACAGCCATTTTGAATGTTTACAAGTGGCAACCATTTTGGATTTTAAAGTGATAGGATTCTCATTCGAATTCCAGGGACCTAAGAACAGGCTCTGTTTGCCAGGGTCGGCAAGGTCAGACAAGAGGCTGACAACAGGAATAGAGACAGGTGATAAGTGCATAAGTGCTGTCAACTAGTGAATAGAGGAGCACAGTACAGTACCCTGCCTGTATAGATAACATACAAAACAAAGAAAACTAAAATTGTGGGCAAGTCACTCCAACATATCATCACTGATTAAATAAAACACAAAAACGTCACAGTGCCTTAGAGAAAACAGAGCATCACATTTCACACAAAGAAGCAAGATAAAGCAGGAGAAACAAGGG